TAAAGTAACATACTAACCGTGGTTGGCCCAATCATGGACCTCAAACCTAAATTCTTTATTATGATTTGCATATGGATGAATGTACAACCAGGCCAATGATTAAGAACAAAACAGGCCATTATATGTGCAAATCATGCCACGAACCACACTGATTTTAAGAACATGACTAGCTCATGTAGTGCATGTCTGATGCCATCTCAGAAGGTTCTAGGTACAAGAAAAGGTACCTTAGCTACAAACTTAGTGTCATCTCCCCTTCTCTTCACTTTAACCTGTTGTTATCAAAATTGTTAGTTTACAACTGCAAAAAAATAGATGAGACTGGGAAAGATACAACAAGAACGTCAACTTCTATAAAACATGATATCCTTATGAAAATGCATTAAAAAGGAACATGCAGAAAACATGAGTCTGAAAGTAATTATGTATTGTGATAAAGATGCACTGTTGGTTAAAGGAAATGACCTCAGTCACATTAAACCTAAAACCAACTACAACAAAGAAATCATGGGGTAGAGTGGTTGGTTTGGTTTTGAATCACGTGAGTATCCGTTTAATTATGAACCATCAAGCAATGCAGAAACCTTTCACAGCTCGTGTCTTCAATGATTAAACTAAAACCTAGCAAGATTAAAGCCCTTTGAAGAAGATTTATGGTTGACATACTGTTCCAGGCAACCTAATGATCAACTTCCTTTCTTTTCTGTAATTTCAAGAGAACTACAGACATCAAATGGTTTGTTTAGCTTCCATAAGCATATTCAAATTTTCAAAACAATATAGTGTATGATATTGATGAAAAGTGGGAATTTCACTTTCATGGAATAACTAAAGAAGAGCATGATCTGCAAGAAGCTTGAGTCATTACACTGATTTGATAATGTTGAAACAAGCTTCCACAATGTCATTTTAGTGGAATCTATAGTAGTTTGAAAACTAAGGACTTCGATATGACAGTGCACTCATGCATGATCTCAGGGCAACTCACAAAGTACATGCCAAGAAATGACCACATTAATTCATACCTTATGCAAGTACAATTCTTTTGCTAATACCAAACCAACAACTGGCTTCAAGAGAATACATGACAAACTAAAGTAATAGAATATCTAACATCAAGAACAATAAAAGTGACAACAATAATAACAGCATTAGCAACAAGCCTTTGCTGGCAAACAAGGATATCCACTTACTTTCTGAAAAATCTATTATAGGAGCATCAATCAAATTGAACTTGAATTTCGAGAATTGAACACATTGATTAACCTGAGTTCCATGCTCGACACAATGAGCATTTGTCAGAAGCTTACCATCACCAATCATGAAAGCACTGTAAAACATGGATATAATTAGCTATAAATTCTTTCCCACCATCATTTTCAAAGCACTGCAAAAACTAAGAATTCATAAGCTATGAGTTCCTTGACTTCAAATAAATATATGCAGACCAAGATGAGAAAGTCTAATCAAGAATTAATAAAAGGTTAAGGTTTAGCATTTATTTGCTGATTAGGAAAATAGACATGTTTTTTTACCAAGCTTCATTAGAAACTGATCAATAGAAACTCAAGAAAGAGGGGAAACGAGTAGAAAAGTAAATAAATTATCAAATTCATTTCACCTTTTCCATCTATAAAATTTCATATTATCATCCATTTGAACAATTTGAAATCCTACTAAGAAATAAATCCTCTACATTTTGACCTAAAGCGATCGGAAAAAAGGAAGCAAATAATCTTTCCTTGGTCAAATAAAAATAAGGCTCTCTAGAATTCACATGAGTATATCACCATTAAACACTTATAGGTGAACGTAGATTAAATTTCCTTCAGAAATAGAATAAGCACGAAGCCTGCAACTAAAGGACATAAGAATCCAATTCTTCACGAAATATAGTGAAACTATTCTTCTACAATCTGCTGATATTGTGATAAAGATTAATGAATACTGAAATGTAATGAGGAAAGACTGTAATTGGTGTTGTCAACCTAGCATTGTTTACCTACAAATTGTGGGAGGGGGAAGAAACAAGTGTGCAATGAAAAACACTTTTAACAATCAGGTGAATAATCAGTCAGTTTGTTTTGTTAGTCAGATGATTTGAGAAATAAGCTACAAGTTACAATGGTGAAAGTGGAAACATGCCTTCCAGTACTTGTAAATTGCCTTTGTTTCTGCCAAGGAAGTGAATAATCAGGTGAGGTATGTGTGCAGTAAACCTGAATCAAATAAAGTAGTAAGTATAAATGAAACTTCATGACGGACATGAATATGACAATATAACAGAATGACACTACTGGATAAAAGCTAGCCAATTTTAAATATCATTTTCTTATCTCGAGAAGGAGAAAAAGAGCCAGGCACTCGTCAAGACCCCTAGTGGTTCAAATATTATGTATTTTAATTAAAATAACCCTTTAGTGCATCATCAGACACTATACTTAGCAGTGACTCCTTATGTAAATGTCCTGAAGCAAATATCTCTGGTCCAAGACAAGATTGTAACCTATAATCCAAAGAGGACCACAGAAACTGCAGTGACCTGACCCAGTTGATAGGCAACAGTGTAGATTGGATACAAAGTAGAGAAGGGTAATTCACAAAAAGGGCCAATGTACCCATTGTGATGATCACCGTACAGAAAAGTCATCTCAAACTAAAGGTATAGAGTTATTCAAAAGGTCTGGATCCCACATCTACCAGTCTGATAGATTTTTAAGATGCTTCAGAAGGTAAAATATATGTGAGAGAAGTCAACTGTTGAATCAGACAGAGGCATTTATAGTTTATTCAGCAGCATTCACATTTCTTAGCTCTTCATAACCATGGATCTTCTGTTCAGCAATTAATAATGACATCTAAATAACAAGAATGGGAAGATATAATATAAATCTTCGATCCATCACTTCTTACCTAAACCAATGTAATGAATTTTGCTCTTCTGAATGGGAACACTTAATATGGCTCTTCAACACATTTGTTGTAATGTAAAGCAAACTATAAATCATAAGAAGTATATTTTTAACTGCAGCTGAAAGTGGTCTGAGAAATCAAAGTTTTAAAGGTTGACTTAAAAACTCAAGAATGCCTATTGCAATCTCCACCAAAGCTTTTCTGTTGGGATGAGTGTGGAAGTCTATACTTTATACATCACTGTCCACAATGAAGTGATGGATTGATACACCTAAAGATAATGTATCACAATTAATTTTGGAAGGGAAGCTGCTTGGGAAGGATACTAAGCAGTTATGATGGTTGACACTGTCCTACCTATCAACAGTCATGGAGTGTAAGTTGTCCAGATACCAATTTGACCTTCGGACAAGTGTGGTAACAAAAGAGTCCAAAGACTTGAGAGGAAGTTTTATGAACTTCAAGAAGCAGATACATTTCTCTAAACATCTCACAGATATTTTTGTACAACCTACTCTTGTGAAAAGTGTCAAAGTAAAAAAAAACCATGCTTCATTTTCAGACCACCACTTTGATCACTACAAGAAAAATCAAAAGTAAGAATTACCTTCACAACAGCATTAAGAAAAGCTGAATCTTGAAATTTTCCTGTTTCATCGGCCTGAAGCACAATCGAGAAATACTATTCTCCATCACTGACCATAATCAGTATGCTAAGTAAAACGTTATTGGCAGTCTTAAACAATGTGATGCTATGATTCGAGAAAGCAGTAAAATCCGCAAACCCGTAGCGGCAATGTACGATGTAGGTAATTCAACTTGCGTTGCAAAAGGAACAAAGAGAATCAAATTTGCCATGCCTGCTGCTCCTTGAGATCATAAACCATGCCCTTGTCCTTCTGTGTTCCAATAGACTTGAACACCGTCGACTGCGACTGCGACTGCGACTGCGACTGCGACTGCGACAGCCCAGCATCTCCCCGACTACCGTCCGATGGAAGGTACGTCCTATCGTCCTTCCCTCTTCCCGGAAACCTCTTCTGGGAAACCCCTTCCACCTGGAAACCCACCAAGAGACATCCAAGCAAAGATCGGATAATTTTACTAGCACACTAATCCACGAGACGCACAAAAAACAGAATGGGCATAAAGGTCTAATAATTTTCAATTGTGAAGTCTACCACGTCGTTTTTCCGCCGATTGGAATGGTCATTGCTGAGCGACTGACGGCCGGAACGATGCGGTCTGTGGGAGGCGAAGATTGATCTGCGGTAGGAAGAGGACGAGCGGGGGAAGGAGAGAGGGGAGGAACAAGAAGGGGAGGCGAAGACCGCGTTCACGGCCGCCATTTCTAATAGGAGAACGGAGAGGGAGAAAGGCGAGCAGTAATCGAAGCGAGGAGGGAGGGAGGCTTGATGAGTCGCGTCCTTCCCTTATCCTTTGCTGCTCTGTGGATATTTAGTACTGGATTCTGAGCACGTGGAAATCACGTGAGAAAATTGTGATCCTTTTTTGTGCATATTTAGTATATAAATTCTTTGGGATTTAAATGACCCAACTTCCTGATCGCTCGAAAACCCACTTCAAACCCATCTTTGTTTTCTTTTTGGCTCCTCACATCGTTCTACTCGGGAAACAAATCTAAAGCCGAAGAAACTTGGGAAAGCAGCTCTTAGATCCAGTAAAATCCTTCTCAAGAAAAACCCCAAAATCAACAGAAATAATCCAAAAACAAGAATACCACTGTTTCATACTTTGACGACCCATTTAATCCAAAACTTTCACTTCTTTATTCTTATCCCGTCGGAGGGAAGCTACAAACTTTAAATCATATATAAATATAAATATATATATATATATGCCTTGTTTATTTCATATATGAATCCACTGCACTTTTTATCCAAAGCTTTTATAAGTGCTCTCCATGTGATGTAACACTAGGGTGATCTTTGTGCTGGCTTTACCCCTTTTAACTTGTTGGAATGGACATATTTTATAATTGATTACTTGCCACTGACAAAATCGAAATGCAAGTAATAGCTCAAGATGAATATGCACAATTTCTAACAATCACAACATACAGCACATTGTCCAAAAAAAAGCTTCCAGTGCCATGCACGAGTAATGATTAATCCATTTCCAGCAAAGAATATTAGTAGATATTCTCCAGGCTCAAATTTACCAGCTCACATGTGGCATAATCAAAGTATCTAATTTATCATTCGGGAAATTCCCATGATTCCCATGTACAGACAAGAAACCAATTAAATGTAATAGATGACATACAAAAGCAACAAGATACTAATGTGCCTAAGGAAATCGAGCATTACGTACGAGGACCATGGGGCTACCTATCAGGTGTCAACGACAGACTCTTCTTCAACCTCCATTCCGTATAGTGAAAATTCCCTTTCAAACAATAAAAATTCCTGAAAACACATTCATTTCAATCTAGTTATTTTTTTTATTTTTGTTATCCATAATGAAGATGACAAACACAGTTGGAGAAGACTTTAAACAATTTAAAGGGTGCAGCCACAGCAATGGTATTTGCACATCAGTGAAAAAAGTTGAAAGAATACCTGTAATTGGTGTTGACTAAACAAATGCAGAATCCCATACTCGGAGGAGGCAACTAATTCAATTAATTCATTATGGTGATCTTTTAAATCACGTGTTTCAGCAAGAGAAACTGACACCTATGGAACAAGAAAGATGGTACCAAAATAAGCCACCCACTCAAGGAATCTCTTTTAGTAACAAAAAGGCTGCAAAAACAAAAAGAGAGGGACGAGGTGAATATTCTAAACTAACCTGCATACATCGGAGAATGAGCTCTGGCAGGCAACATCTTCGGCAAAGCCCCTTCACTATGTAATTAGCAGGGCTTCTGAAGGAACCATCCTCGGATGAGTACCAAGCATCAAGCCGGGATATTTCCATTGTAACTCCAGGTTGAAACCGATTAAGCTCACCTGTTATAAAGGATTAACATCAATCTCACATGAAATAAGAACTACTTTAAAAGCTTGTAATCCGATTAAGCTCACCTTTTATAAAGGATCAACATCAATCTCACACGAAATAAGAACTACTTAAAAAGCTTGTAATCCAATACCTTTAAAACCTGCAGCTATGACAGTAGCAAGAAGACCTCCATCATTAGCTTCATGAAGTCCAAGCCCATCACCATTCACTGCCAAGCAGTGAAGTGCGACTTCAATGCGATAGTTGTCACTTGAGGAAACCGCAACATTGACCTGAAGACTCGAATGTCACAAAACTGAGCAACCACGAAAAAAATTTATTTCTGAATAGCTCATGTAAAAGGTCATGCAGCCCATAGCATTTGTGCAACAAAAGAAGCAGCAAGTTAATGATCATGCAAAGATCAATAATTGAACCAAATTCGAGACCTAGAAATCCAAGCATTAGGAAATATGCCATTAAACATAAATAGATTTCCTTATTACTGAAGAATTGAGCAGAATATGTACAAAAGTTGTATTAATCTGGTAGGAACTGCTAAGCTCAACTCAAGGTTGAGTATCTTTTGGCTTCTTGTCAGAAAATGTATCATAAAAAGAATCCTAGTAACATTAAATTCTCCATTAAGATGGCATTAAATCCTTACAAGTTATATCTAAAACTGGCAAACACCTGAATATTCTTTGAGGAAATAAAATAGTAATCAGCAAACAAACTGACTCCACCAAAAAAATCAATAGGGAGTTGAATTATTATAAAAAATCTCAAGTGGCATTGCAAAAGCTGTCAGAAGGAAGTGCATTCTTGTAAAGGCAAATGCCCCAAGGAACAAGAAAATAGAAATGTAAACATACCCTCAATTGGCGTTTTAACACGTCATCTTCACTGACGGAGGAGTAAAGTGCACTGGTCAATGTAGTACAAGAGGTCGCATCTGGGAGCATGCACTCACCAGAAGGCAGACAGAGCATTGCAGTTGCATGCAATTCAATATACATATCCTCTGTTGGATCATATGTTCTATCATGAGCAACATTCAGCCATGGGTTTCCTTCTCCTAAATCAGGAGTAAAGCAAAAGTTCAAGTCAGATTTGCATCACATATATGAATAGGTTAGAGAACAGCATGAAATAATTAGCTTAATAAATAGAAATTGATACATTAGTGAAAATAATTTGGCAAAAAAGGCCAGTTGATGCCAGACATATAATAATGTCATTAATGTTTGAGAAAGTTCAATACCACATAAGAACTACTTGGAACAGATGCCAATTATTTTTCTAGTATGAGTTTGACCTCCAATAGAATGTTTCCCTACTCTTAACTTTCCAATAGAACATTATGAGACTGCAAAGCATGTGAAGTTTTCTTCCTGTACTTCGCATTCTTACTTCCTTCTTCATTCTCATTTGACTGCAGATCTACTACCATTTCTGCTGTAACAGCTCCTCATATCACAGAATCATCTTAGGACCAAACATGTCCATTTTCTGTTTGGATCTAATTCTTAAACTTGGCAAGTTACAAATTTCTCTTCTTTAAGCCACTGACATCTGAACATTAAAATCAAGTTATAGAAGTTCTTACCATTTTGGTAGCAACTTCTGCCATCAAGAAAATGATCCAAGGAAAGCAGGTATCAGTTTAAATAGAACCAGGCTGTAAATTAACAGGTTTTAGAAGACTGAGCTTTTATGAACTTGACTAAAAGCTTAACATTCAGGTTCTCAGATATCATGATGCCCTTTGATGTTTTCACTGAGGCTCATGGCTACCTTCTCCACAAATGTCTGAAAAGTCGACACTGAGGGGAAGCAAGTGAAGAAGTCTCTAGGTAGTTTGGAGAAGGGGAGACTACCACGGTTCAACTTTCTCAGCATATTTCAATATGAAGACCAATCTGTACCAGTATTGGCAAGGTCAATCAGATTTCAGCATATTTTTCACCTTTCTGTCAGTAAGAATTAGTTGAAATCAGCTGAACATGATGGAACTGGTTCATGTTACCAAATTCGAGTTGATCTGTCAACCACGAAGTAGAGTGAAAGGAGCTGGGACTGTCATAAGCCATAACCATAGGATGGGAGTGAAAAAGAACTGACAGTGATGCAGAGCTACTGGTGGTCATTTTCTTTGCTATCACCATCACATTTGTCATGCCACTTGAGTCATCGCACGAAGCAGAGATGATAGGAGAAGAAAAGGAAGGAGATAATAACTCATAGCTTCTCTAGGGTTAACAGAAGCCATAATAGAGAACAGAGTGACATTATGGTAACCCTTAATAACTCTTAGTGAACCAGCATAGGCCCTTGCGTGATACTACCCAAAGTCCTGGTATCCTAGTCAAAATTCTGTAATCAACTCATTATTATAACCTCATTATTGACTTGCAGTTGGTCACAATTAAAATTTAATCTGAAAGATCTCTTAAATGAGTTGTCACCCTATGTTAGTTGCCCATGCTACAAAGTTGGTAGTCAAAGACATGCATACAAATCAATCTTGTTGGGTCACTCAAACTTGTTAGTATAATAAAAGACCAAAGCTCTGGCAGCAGTTTGAGATTGAGATTAAAAAGACCCCTGATAATGTCAAGCTGGCTTGGGTAAATAACCAGCTTGTTCATGTGGTTAATTTGCCTATATTTGTGCAAGAATATGATAACTATATAGTTCGGTCATCATTTTTAAACATTTAGAATATGATAATTTCATCTGGAATAATAATTATATGCTCAATCCCTGTTTAAATGTTAGAATTCCTCCGCAAACTATGGCAAACTTGTTCCATCTTTCTTGAATTACACAAAGAATCCTTTAAGAATATTCATGACTCAAAAGGTCTAGCCAGATTGAACATAAGAAAAATTCCAAAAGCCACCATCATTTGCTGAACTGGACAAAATTAAGTTGATTACTCTTACCCCACCCTGATCCTTGCATTAGAAACAAAGACTAGCTCACCAAACAACAGCCTACCCGGGCAGAATCATTTCTACCCAGAGAAGATCTTATCATCTTAGTGTCCTTATTAGCCACATTAAAGATATGCAAGGTAGGCTTGAAGAAAAAAATCAGAACTAAATAGGATCCGTATTCCACAAGTTTTCTTTTTTTTTCCATAGGAAAGTTTCCAGTTTGTGGACTTGTACAAAGTACTTCAAAACTTTCAATTAGATTACAGAAAATAGAACTGGAAATAATGACGACAACAGGTTTACACTAAGGTAAAGACGAAAGGCAGCTATCCATTTCATGAAGAGAAACAAACGTACAAATACCCAGCCAGCATACTCAACTTTAAAATTGAACTTACTCAGCAATAGTGACAGAGAAGAATCTAGTGTTTCTAAAGCTGTGGCAGCAGCTCTATCCTTTTCTTCTGAAGAAAGTTCAGCAGGTGCAATAGCTGCATTCTCAAGCTCAAACTTGAGCCAATTCCGATATGTTGCATCGCATGCGTAATACTCACGCTGATCATCATGAAACAACAAAAGCAAATGAAGTAAAACTGAATCTTATTGGCATCCCATTGTTGCACTAAACACTGTCAAGGTAATTTGAAGAAGAAAAGAGAAAAACAAGCATACCCAGTCTTCAAACTCATGCAGATCCTCACTGGCGTCGTCTTCATCAAAATTAGGCTGTTTTAATGGTTCCGCCAAGAAACTGAGCAACATATGAGCTCCAATTGGCATTTTAGGAACTCTCCACATAGATATCAGAGCAAACTCCCTGAATAGTGTGTTGCTGAAGCAGAAGAAATCAAAGTCAAAATCAGACATGTTATTTCAAGAAGCATGTCATCCGTTATATTGCACAAAATAAAACATAAGCGAGCAGTTAATTATCATAAATAAATTACCTATGCATCAATGCCCTCATAAGAAGCTTTGCACTGATAACCTCAACATCCCTTATAGTAGAAGGTGGTGTGAAACAGAGCCACTGAATAACCATAGCTTTCTGAAGAGATTGCAAACGATGCTCTTCCGCAACATCAGACAATTTTCCAACAGGCTTGCTAGGTTTCGTTTCCCGTGATCTCAAGAGCACCCTGCTAGGTTATTTGTGCATGAAAAATTTTGTTGCTATGCTTGTTTCTCTAACAGAAAATAACTTCTTTGTACACATGTGTTTTTGGTAGACTAACCTTTCTAGGATGTCTTCAAAACATGCCTTAGAGTCATCTTCTGAAGAGAAAGGTAGATACTCCATACCCAAAAGGAAGAGCTTGTATTTAACATGCATACTACCATCACGAAAGCAGAAAAATTGTCAGCAACTGTATCTTAGAAAACAAAGGACAAGAAAAGATAACAAATGACCTTAAGAATAATGCAAAACTTCTTGAGGTCCATACTAGATAAGCACATATTCAATATATTGCATGGTAGATTCAGATCCTCAATGATGGACTTAGGAAATATGTAAGGGTCACAGAGATGGCACAACCCAACATACATATATCGCTGTAATATAGACAAAAAAGGTAGTTATATCCAAGGTTCGTCAGTACGATGTACTACTCAGCACGGAAAGTACGTACCAATCCGATAGGAGACTGATACAGGCAGTACATTGATATGCCACCATGTACCATGTGATGGTATACTCGGTATGACTTGGTACAGCTCAGTATGTACCGTAGCGGTCAATCACCAATACAGACCGGTAAGGCAAACCATGAGTATATCACTGGCATGGCTTCATAGGCTGCCAAAAATTTAATCCTCGAGTACAGCAATGTAAATGTGTTTTATATAAACCAATGCATTATCCTCTTTCTTCAAGTCTGTCCAGACATGTTATTAGAATGTTTTGCAGGAGTTTAAAACAATTTTCACATTTTCAACAGACAACAAAAGCTGAGGCCCTAGTGAAGCAATGTTGTCAACTTGTCGCCCAAACTTTGAACAGCAGAAAGACTCTGCAGGCATGCAAGGTCACATATATAATCTCCCTAAACTCTGCAGTCACAAGAGCCTTGAGCACTTGACTGCCCTCTTTTATGGACAACACATTCATTTCCAACTTTAAGGACTCAAGAATCAGCACTCACCTTTGACCCTAATAGAGCATCATCCTCATTATCTGGGAAAAAAAAAGAACATACTTTACACTGATAACCCATATTAAATATATGTAACATAGCAAATTAGAAGGCATCACATATGGACATAAACAACATATATACAACCAAGAAATTTCAGGTTCGGTAACATGCTGCAACACTGGCATTATTATCCAACAAATGAATGTGTTATATTACAGAAAGGATCATGAGATCTATCCACAAACTCTACACATCAAAGCATAATCTTTAGCTAACTTCAATAGTGACAATCTTGATCACAAATATTGAACTATTAGGTAATGAAAGATAAACATTACCTGCTGTTTAGTCTGAGCTCCATCATTTCGACAAAGAGATCAACACAAAGGTGACGGGCAAGCTGAGAGGCATATACTCCAACCAACTCCTCATGTTGCTTAGAAAATAAATACATTGCATACCTGTCACAAATTGATGATTGCAAGAGTTTTAGGACTGTCAACCATTTGTGTTTACTATATTGTCCATGTATAGTCCATTGATAAAAAAACTATGCACTGAGGTCAACAAAAATAGGAAATGTCGATGTCCGTATCATCTTAAATGATATATCCTCATTTTGTACACTATTGAAAGTTGTAACAACTAATTGCTCATAATCACAAATGTAAATGTTTTTAATTCTTTTTTGTGTAGTAACCTCATGCAGTTTTCTCAACATTCTTTTCTTAGTAATCTCAACTTTGTTTTGCATATGCTATATAATGGTCCAAACGTTGTAATCCATAAAATATGAACAACCCTATAATTGTCTTCCTAAATTTTCTTTTAATCTAAAGCGCACATGGTAACCATACAAGTTACACGCTTGTTCAAGCCTTGCCTAAGTAACCCTCAACCATAAACTGAAGTCATCATCCTCATACTGCAGTCATACGATCCTTGAACCAACAATTTTACTTTCAACTTCAACCATATTAGTCAAAATTGACCAATTTTAACACAATGATCAACCGAATCTGGACCAGACAATTCCATTCACCATGCTAGTAGGCATACTACCTGGTAATGTAACAACATAAAGATCATGCTCCTGGACCTGCGTGCCTCATTATCAAGATGCTTAATTATCAGGTCTCGTTTTATAGTTGTTGCTCCGGCAGTAGTACTCCACCCTCTGTTTCAAATGTCTCTCCAAGTGCAATCAAGCAGACCTTTTAAAGTGATCAGGCAGGATCTTGTACAGTGATCAGTTTTGACTTGAGTAAGCTACTTTGAAGTGATAAGGCCTAGCTTTTGAAGCTGTTGCTGTTGATGCCATACTACTCCACCCTCTAGCTATCTCAGATATCTTTACACAAGAAGATAGGCCTAGATTTTAAATAAATCAAGCAGTGAGTCATACAGTGATTAAGTGAACCTCAATGAACTATCTCACTCTCTCTCTATTTTGTATGTCTTATGACACACATACGGGTTGATCTTTTAAATATTGAAACAGCATCATACAATGATCAGCCGGTCCCGGGTGCCAAGATATCAAGCAAAAACATTTCTAATGCATTTTAACTCCACACACAATAGCAAAAGAGAATACTATTACAGCTGTGGTAGTACTACTCTCCATTTCTGATATCTGTGAAGAAAATATCATCATCTCCAAGAAGATATTCTGATGGTTAAGGCATAATGTGTGCAATTAAGAGGTCAAGGGTTCAAGTCCTGTAATCATGTATGAGCGTTATGTAATGTTTGAACAGAAGAAATAAATTGAGAAAAAGGCAATCTCCGTAACAATGTCAGATTCCACAAACACGTGGCTCTCCCTGCCCACCAAGCCCAGTTCTCTATCACAGACCAAAGCAGAGGCTAATAGTAATGATTCCTATAATAATAATGATAACTATTAAACGAGAGTTGTATATCTTAATTTGACATGTAGCTGACCTACCCATTTAAATTAGGTAGACTTAGGTTGTCTTAACCTAGGTGAAATTAGGTTGGTAAGTAGAGATGAAAATGATATTAAACTTTTGAATATAAAGTTACACCCCAGTGCCAAAGCAGCTTATGACTTGACCTGACCAAGCCTCTCAAAAATATGCCTAACTACTGAATTCATTATGGGAGACTTAATTATTTATCTCCTCAGCTGATGAAATCCCCAAAGATAGCCATATTCTAGCAGGACACTTAAAAACTGCACTATCATACAAAGAAGTATAAACATGGCTTACATGTGAAGTATGAGATCACCAACAGTCGTAAGCTTCTCCTTGAAAGCATCCTTCATGTCATCATCAAGCAAATTCCGAAGAACAAGAACCACATGTGCTCCAAAGCGTAACATTTCAGGATCACCATGAGGCCTAAGTGGACAATATCCATTTAAGAATAGAATTCTACCAGAAAGCACAATTGAAGTCTCTAAAATAGTAAAAAAAAAATATGGAAGCATCAAAATTATAAATGTCGATACCTCAGGATATTCTGATTATCTTCTGAAGGTGATATCCATGCCCAAAGTAGCTCTAGAAGATGTGCCATATCTCCCAGCATGAGATTCATCTACAGACATATGTTTTAGAGAGACAGAGCATAAACTGAAAAAATAACACAACAACAACAATGAGTTTTATTTATTTTCCGACAATGTGTTCTGCTAAGTGCTAACACCAACTCCCTCCAGCCATTTGGCTTTCTCTAGTGCAATAACACCAGAGGGTCAGAGAACCATCACCATAATACTGTTAATAAGCAAGATGTCACTGTCTTCCTTTCCTCCAAGAACCTCTTATCCATGTGTACTTTTTCTTACTACTACCTTTATATTGGGGTTCAAGATACTGGTACCAAAAACACTAAAGAACACCAGTAAAAGAAACTAAAAATCGTTTAACATCCTGGAATAGACTGATGCAATTGGTACACTAGTATACCAATTCAGAAGGATAAGGTACAATTACCACCTTGCAACAGATGATGTAATCAGCTGCTTTCATTAGTGCTAAGAAGGCAAGAGCATCTGATACCAGGAAATTATGAGTTACAAAAAGGATGGATAATTGAAATCAAGGTATCAAATTAAGTATGCATTACTAGATATGCATAATTATACATGGAGATCACAGTAGATCCTTGTAAAAGTACCATAAGTATGCATAATTGAACATGTTTTTTTCCAAACAACAGTAAAATAAGAATGAAAAATGTAACAAGGACCCTCTTTTGCACCATAAGACCAACCATACTTGCAGAAAGTTAGCAAGATAAAAGCTGGATCCTTTGCTGTTTTACATCATATTTCTGGTACAGGGACTCAAATACAAACTCAAATATCCTTTATAATTATTTTACAAGCAAACGCCAAATTTTTTTCGTTGATTTATCATGTAAATGAATCTGAATCCCTTACCTCAATTTGTCGATGCTGTTCTTCACAAGCTCTGGAGACAGCTTCATGTACAACTTCACTGCAGTAGTAACAAATTTACACAAATTAGGTAGAAGCCGGGATGCAATGACGAGCATTGTCACATTTCAAACCTTGAATGAAGTTTTTGAAGAAGTGCTGGAAGATCCCGTGGTTGCTGATCAAGCACATGACAAGGCCAGTTTTCTGAACTTGCTGTAGAAGATAATCCTTGCATGGAAGACCCATTTATATCTTCGCCAAATTGTTTGCCTTCCAGTCTAGCTTGTTGAAACTGAGCTAATATAGAGTCAACTTGGACATCAAGCCAGGATTTTGCCATTGCCCAACAAGCTGACTAAACCACCAACAGGAAATTAAGTATGGATCCAATGTCTGTTTAATTACTAGTTCTAGTGAACACCCTTATGAAATGAGATACATGTAGCGATGACCAGAAAGTAATAAGTGAGCAAATATATATCTAACAATTAAATATTGACAATATGCAATACGAATGACAAATCATGAAAACCTTGCACACTGACAGAATACTACCTCCCAGTCAGTACAGATAGGCAGCAAACGTCTCAAGTTACTAGACTGTGAAGCATAGACAGCCATCTCATACCTTCCACCATCCTGTTCTGCAATTTTCTGAACATGAAGATCAATCAAATGTAAGTGAACAGCAATTAAGCTTGAAAATCTTAGGCAACTTTATGCATCAATCTGTTAGCATAAACCAAACACAATATAAAACAAGGTGACAGAAATAACAGTTCTGAGTCAATAATACATCCTAGATAAATAATATTAGGTCATTTTTTCTTGAAGCAAGGGATACTAGACAAGAATAGCAGAACAGCAGATGCATAAACTTGAGGAGACAAGGCACAAGCTGCCTGTGTAATGAGGAGATGATGCATAAGCTGCTTGTGTCGTGAGGAGATGAGGCACAAGATGCCTGTGTAGTGATAGCACTAAGACCCACATATGGACCTGACCTGAAATCAAACACAACCTTATCCAATCTGGACACAAGGTCTCATTTGGTAGGTACAATCCAAGACCAGTCCCATTCGAAAATTTAAGTTCCAATCGAAGTCTACAGATATCAGAATGCAGACCGGAACTTAACTTCTATATCTTGCTCAATAATGTAATATATATCTTTTATCCATATTCATCATTTAATACTTTTAATAATTAATGGTTTCATATCTATATTTCAAGTGATGCCTTTGAATAGACTTTTGTAAAATATCCACTGTTTAATGTTCCCATTAAAGTATACAATTTCTTCCTTCTTTTCCTTCTTTGTTTATTTAGTTTTTGGTGACATCCGGACCTGAGATTAAGTTCATTTTAAGTCTGATTGGGTTGAAATTAAATCAACTTATTATGTTGGGTCCAAGTTGAATCCATATTATAGTTATATTGGGTTCAAGTTTATCATCTAAAATATGTTAAATTTTTGTGAGACATTTGGAGTGCAATTCATATTTAATCAGTTGATTGTTATCTCAAAACAATCATAAGATTTGAACATGATATATATGGCAAAAGCATCAAATCAACTTTGATGTGACAGAATACTAAAATTTATGGCTGGGGGAATGAGAGAGAAGAAATATAATCAGAAACAAAGTGAAAAAAATTAATATAGCTTGCCTCCTCTTTAAGATCTTTTCCTCATTCTAGGACCCACTCTGCTGGTTGCACCTCGTTAGTTGCAACCAGTGAAGGATCAACGTAGTCTGGGAACCCTTCTAAAACCCTAAAATAATTGTTTATCAAGCTTTATAGGCAAGCATTGTCCTTTAGGATTTTAATCAGGTCTATTTTAGTTTTACCAAACCTGTATATAAATAGCACAAACAAGGTTTTCCTTTAATACACCCAAAAAGGCTGTCACTTCATGTGTCATATTCCTTCCAGATTGCTATCTAACCAGCAATTATCCATATGAACCAAGATCTAAGACCTCAGCTGAGGTCAACAATAGGTGAAAGGCCATCACTCACCAAAAATCTTATTTTTTGCTTCATCCAATTTCAAACCCTCCATTTACTAGAAATATATCCTTATGTATCTTGCTTCTAATGATAAAATCCATTTTAATTAAAAATTAATATCAAAATGTATTCACTTAGACCATCTTGTGCCAATTTGCCATGCACCGATTGTTATACATAAACATGAAATGGTATTTCTATGATTTGAATTTGATTGTTTTTCAGCTTTACAAAGAGAAATTAGTCCAAATCGACTAGAATTTATAAAATCAACCAGAGAAGGCCAACTGTTTGTTAACTGACAGTATCAAAAGAAAAAAAGAAAAGAAATGTGGAAGGAGAAGAAGACAAAAGATAAAATGAAAAGACAAAAGAGATGCCAACTATTGTAAGTGTAAAACAGAGAACATGCTGCTACTATTCTCTATAACAGTCACCATTGTTGCAAAGTTTCTTAACCTTTTAAGAGAATAGATATGTCAGAAAAAAAGGAAATATAATGGTATCCATAATTGATACGAAATTTCATGGGCAGTCTTTAAAGAAATTATCCTTTATTTGTCTTTGCATCACCTAACAGTTGATGCACATTGATTAAAGAAGCATTGGAGTACAATGGTGTTCATTGCTATCATCAAAGTTACAGGTGAATAAGTTTTACACCTTCTGTATGACTTGTATATAACTGCTAGTTATAAAGTTGTCTTTGTATAATATGATTACTAATTATTTTGTAATAAATACATAAAAATCAACTTTAATATTTCTATCTCCATTATATAGGGGTAGGCCAATGCAGGAGTTCCCTGACATTATGAGGTTTCAGGAAGTGTAACAGTGTCATCTGTACAAGCAAGAAATTGTTTCTATGACTCTAATTCTAATCACTTAGATCATAGAGAAACAACTTTACTACACCATGCTTCACCCTCTTTTGAATTATTCTTCACTATATTTAATGTAAGAACTTCTTATAAATATTTCTTTTACAAAGTTTAATTCGTTACATCTGGATTTCATATGCCTTTCTAGAAAGTTAAATATTCAACAAATATGAAGTAGAAGATTATTTAAATATTTATATTATTATGTTATATATTACATAATATATCATATTATATAGCTCAACAAAAAATGAAACACATTGAACAATGCCCTCCCAATCCAGCTCTGTGACATCTCCATCAAGGTTACTAAAACTGGGTTTAAACGACATAAATAGGCAATAGTAGAATAAAGATACATCAAAAGAATAACATTTTTTCCTTATCTTGCAAGATTGAATCGGGATTGGAAGAAGATGAACTCAAAAAATACAGCAAAAAAGAAGGAACTCAATAAGAAGTCATACCTCCGAGGCACAATATGATGCCCACCTCCAAAGACGCCATTGGTGACCTATGCCACTTTCCAATTCAAAGGCTTGCAAAGTTCTCATCTTACCATTTTTGTGCATGGCTTCAACAGAAGGGAAATGGTCAAACCCTCCAAAGGGGCAAAGACTTGCAGCTCTCCAAGGCTGAACAGTCAAACCAAATGAAAGAAATACTTTTTAAGCAAATGGTCGGGTAAATTTTCACAAATATAGTATACATTGCCAACCTGCCCTGCAGAACGACATAATTCGCATGCCTCTTCCAATCTCCCTGCTCGAAGTAAAGTCCAGATATCTTCCAGCAATAATTCATCTTGCTTCTGTTTACATTACCAGCAAGCATTCATGTAATCATTTATGACAGATAGAAGAAGGCATGAAAGTTGCAATATCAACTAAAAAGCAATCTTTACTACAAAGAATAATAGGGAATGAGAATCATGTACAATCATATCATTGATGTCCTTGTTAAGGTCTACATGACACGAATATTCAAAATTTATGTGGGATTTTGGAGGACATTACATTTATTCGCTCCAAAATTTTCCATGGCCCATTATAAGCACATAGCATCTGTATTTGCTATCCCTAAGCTACAAAAAAGCTCATTTTTTAGAAATATTCATATAAAGCCTAAATCAGCCTCTAGAGAGCAAGACATGCAAGTTAAAAAGTGAAAACTCCTTGATCTTCTGCTTAAGTTGCGACTAGTATCACCTAAATCCCAGACTACATTCCTTATCATTAGTTCAAGTCTATAGATGTACTCCGCTGTCTTTCGTACCTGAACTATAGTAAAGCTAACATAGTAATAAATGTAGCCACAACAAAAATATGGGATCAGAGATGTAGTGGGAGAATAATATAGGATCAGAGAGAACTAAAACATATAGCACAGCTATAGGAAAATGTCATTCAGCTGCATTGCTTTTCTGAAGAGAATCCAGGAGAATATTACAAGATCCGAGAGAACAGAAACATGTAGCACCAGTATAGGGATGTCATTTAGCTGCATCACTTTTCTGAGTGATGCAATCTCTCACATATCTAAAGTGGTGGGACCCTGTCCAGGTAAATAGTGGTGTATAAGATATAAGTTCTCCAGATAGCTATATTGATGGTTTTCTTCCAGCTAATTATTGTAAATGGCAAAACATTCTTGGCTTTAGCAAAATTCTTCCGACCCTCAGCCGTCCAATACTCAAGGTAGGCATTACCGAATGATACCTCCCGGTACGGGCGGTACATACCGGTCCGATGGCATGCCGGTACGCGGACCGCCCGCTATTGGACGGAACGAAAAATAATAATAAAATAATATATATATATATATATATAATTTATTTATATATAAATATTTTAGAAAAAGGCGATGTTCGACGACGTTGCTGAGGGGCCTATTTCGGATTTTATATATATATATATATATATATATATATACCGAGCGAAAGTCGAAACACCGGTACGGTACGATATTGCAAACTTTGGTCCAAACAATATTGGTAACAGTGCAAATAGCATATTCAACATCTGAGACGATGAGCCCTGAGTCAATTCTATCAATACAGATGAAAATGTATTTGTAACTGCAAAAAACAAAACTGTAATAAAACATGAGGGATGGAAGTATGAACTCAGACAAAAATCCCACTCAAATAATGTCTTTTCTAACAGTAGATGCATGCAAGTAATTCCATTTTAAACATCAGAATAAAGAAACTAAATTAATAACAAGACAATGACAGAAATATAATGTAGCACAAATCAAACAATATGGACAGTTAACTGATACAGGAGATCAAATATGTTGCACAGCCATTTACAAAACAATTTAAGTCCAGCAAATTGAGAAAATTACCGACAAAAAGATTGCATCAGCTACAGTATGTTGATAACAGAGCATCTAAATAGTAAAATATAAAACACTGATCACATAAGCTAAATATGAGATGAAGTTTAAAGTACTTTGTCATCCAAAATTGGTTGAGCTACTTCACGTGTTGAGGCATCAAAATCCATGTGCTGAACTATCGCTGGATCACCACTCATTTTCTTTAAATACCTCTGTGTATGATGCCAAACACCAGAGCTTGGAAAATAGGAGCCAACATGAGACCCTCTCACCTGAAAGAAAAAAATAACTCAATAATAAAGATTAAACCAACATAGTGATAGATATATGATGTTTGCTTCAAATGTTTGGTGGTTATGTTGGGGTATATTAAAAACAAAAGCAGCTATCAAGAACCCATGGGCCCTTACTTAGCTTTAACCAGTGCATGGAAGGTGTTGAAAAAATAGGGAATCAACAGGAAACCTTCTCATCTACAAAATAGTACTCTAGCAAGCAGTAAAGAATGGTTAGACATAATCACAAACTTATGATGCCAATATAGTGCTTGGTAACAGTTTAATTAGCCTTTTAGGCTTCAACCATTAACAAAGACAAAAGGAAAACCAACTTTTAGGCAGTATATGATCCCTTATTTCAGTTTTAACACTACATAGATTTTAGGCAGTACGCGGTCCTTTATTACAGTATTAAGAGCAGATGAACAAAAAAGTTCAAAGATGAACTCAAGGTTGTGACGGAAAAACACCACCACCAAAATGTATGGCTTCAATTGATTTACTATTTGTAACAAGCAATTAAATAATTGTGGCATATTGAGGGTACCAACCAAATGTACTTGTCTAGGAATATGCCCTTATTATGGGTTCTTTCTTTTTATTCTTGAAGTTAGAACGAGATCCACTATTTAAGACACACACAAATTTAAGTATCAGAGATTCAAAACATTGAATCTTTGAAAGGTCTGAAAGGTGGTCATTCTTTCCTCTGCAATTCGCAAGAAAGGTAACGATGAAGAGGAAGAAGTTTAATTCTAAGACTCCAAGTGAAAAGAACAATAGGACTAGGTGTATGTATGTATATGTATGTATGTGTGTGTGTGTGTGTGTGTGTGTGTGTATATATATATATATATATATATATATATATATATATATATATATATATATATATATATATGTATGTATATATATATCATCCCCCTCTGCGTTTCTTTTTCACTCCCACGCAAATCCAACAGCCACATATAGAACACGTAGAATTTTTGGTCTGCACCCACACATACTGTACTGGTCCAACACCCAGCTAAATGTTGGTACAAACTGAGTTCACAACCCTGGATCAAAGATCTCTGAAACCAGTGATGGAAAAACAACCAATGATTATGTTAAACCTGCACATTTTACATTTTTGATATAAAAGAGAGTACAAGCCGGGTAATTAAGGTGGAACCATAGAATCAAAGTCCTACCAAGTCATTTGATTATATAGGACAGTCCTAATAACTAATAAATACTATATACAGTAACTTTATCTCGATGCTAACTCGGCCTTTTAAATACCATCACTTCTCCAAAGATTGAATATTCAAGTTCAATTCCTCACAGCTAGCAGTGCTATTTACCATCAAAAAAATCTATCTCATTCAGCATAAAATAGCCTTAAACCTTCACATTAATGCACATAAAATAGCACACCTTCTTTGCTAAATCAAGAGATTCTGAGGCAAGACCTTCTAGCCAAAGGACAATTCGAAGGCATAGTTGTGCCGTATGATCCATCATTACAAAACGGCAGGCTTCCTGATGTGATGTTGTTGGTGTCTGCAAAGAATAACAAACATTGCATGGTTTAAGCAAAAAGAATCAAAATGCTTCATTAAGTCTAAAAAAGAATAAGGAAGATAGAATTTTCATCATAATTACCACAAGGAGGTTTCCAGGAAGCTCTTCATTTCCTGCAGTATGGTGAAACCAATTCAAATATAGAAAAGCTAAAACTTCAGGAAGTATCATGTCCCATGGAATATAATTTTCCTAGCAAACAGAATGACGTATCTGTTGTAGCAGATACACATGTAAAAACTAAAAAGTCTAATAAAGAGGCCCGCATATCTTTTGTAGCAAATACACATGCTAAAAGCAGAAGAATGAAGTCCATATGAAAAACAATCTGATCATTATCTCACTGATGATGTGAACTTAGTAATAAATAAATAAACTTCGTAAACATGCAACATCCAGTGATATGGAATAATATATCACAGAAGTCCATGTACAGCACAAACCAATTTAAGGGTGAATCTTAAGTTTCAGTGACACAAATCCAAACTGATTAAATGGTTTCATTTACTCCCTAAGCAAGCATGTAAGAATCCAGTAGAATGGAGGCGAGCATATCCAACTAATTATGCCAATAAAGAGACCAAAAAGGTGCAAGAAGTTAACATTATTTAAAACATGATCTTGCTTTTCCCTAATCATAATGCTTTCTGCTTTAGTAACCCCCTCCATTCACTTTTGTCCATTGTCTTCTCCTCTGCCCGTGTACTCTTGCCCACATCATCCATTGTCATCTCCTTATCATACCCCCAATATTCATTCCTAACTTCTAATCAATTGTTTGACTCCAATATTGTTTTATTTAGATGAACTCACCACCACCATAATCCCTACCATGAACCTCCATTCCGTTGTAGTGTGCAACCATTTGCGAACTCCCAAATATCCCAATTAATTCCTCAAACAATCAATTTAGCCTCCAACCAAAAAGTTCTCTCATAAATATTTGAGCTCATATATTGGGCAGTTAAAAGATGCAAACTGAGACTGAACAAGATATCACACACGATATAGAACAAATTGCAATGGACCTATATTTCTAACTGTCCACTCTGCATAAGCTGAGCTGAACCATGGAACACAGAGACAATCTTGGATGAATGAAAAAAGATATTACAGGATAGTCAGGACTGCCTAAAGTGGTTTAAGTTTTATGAAAGGTTATGCAGGAAAGGTATGATTATTAACAAAATCTAAATTGATGATATGAGAATTCAAAGAAAAAATCTTGCTGTAGATGAATAAGGTATAAAATTAACAGATTTAGATTTTATCTGATAACTGAGATGAAAGCAGAGCAAGACTGGTTCAAACAGATAGCTAGATTTATTTGTTCAGACCTGAGTTTTCAGTTAGAAGGATCTCTCAACAAAGAACTTCCACAATCAGTGTGTTTTTGAAGTCTGGTATAACTTTGTAAACAATATTTAGAGCGAGAGAAAATTTTATTATCTCTACAAAAAATTCATATTAACATGTACACTAGAATACTATAGCATCTAGTGTAGCATCTGTTTTCCATTTGCCTTGTATAGCATCTGACCACTCGCCCTTATTAAGATCTCCACTGATCAGGTTAGGATAAGAACCAAAAAGCCTTTCCGCTTTGAGCCTCACTGGCTTGAATACAATAGCCTCAATCATGTCTTCCAAAACCCTTGGCCAACTGAGGTCAACTGTCCTAATGCCTGGTCTTGCTTCACAGCAACCTCCAGAGTCTAATCCACTGGGGACAGAACTCATGTTGACAATCTTGAAAAGAATCTTCACTCTGTTTCCAAGCAGATGAAGAACAAGTCCAAGGAGAACTTAGGAATTATGCCTGAATAGACAAATGGGTTATATAACAAGCATATGGCCTTGAATAGAAAAATCCATATCAAGTGGTGGTCGAGAACCAAGGTCCAGTGGGTTGAGGAAGGTGATAAGAATACCAAGTATTTTCATAACTTGGTCAGACTTAGAAAACGCCTGAATACTGTTAGACACTTAAAGCTTGACAATGGGAAATGCTTGCAGGACCCTAGCACCTTCTGTCATTACTTTGCTGATTGGTACTCCAACGGTTCAACCTTTGGGTGGATGACCATGGAGGCAGTAGTGAGGACTGGTCTAATTGCCCCTCTCTCCCTCAGGTTAGTACAAATAAGTGGTCCAGCCTGACCTCTGATTTCTCTAACTCTGAAATCCTTACTGCCCTCAAGTCGATGAGCCGGGGAAAAAGCCCAGGCCCAGATGGCTACACTATCACAGATGATCATCGTGCACCCATAACACCTTTGTCAACAGACTATTCGTTACTTTTGTTTGCTTGTACATATGTTTGGCAGGGTGTTTTGCCTTGATTTTGTATGTTTTTGCTTAAAAACTGAGTAAAAACATTTGCATGGCTGCAAAGCAACCACTCACCAGAATGGGCAAAAGTGCCTCAAAATAGCCCATTTTCGAATGCCCTGGCTTGTTTTTTGCAAGCTACAGTGTGATACGAAACGTCAACCATCTCAGCACCCTAGAACAACCCGAGTAGCATAGGGTTAGATGGGGGTTTGAGGTAGTATTGGATGTTGATTTAATTCACAAGTTTGCACATAAAACCTATAGGGACTTGCCAATGCGCCCGACACTCTATCGTTTATGGACTTGCGACTATTCGTTTGCCTTCTAAAGTCCTTATTTTCTCCTTTCTCTCTTTTCTCTCTTGCACACCAAGTGTTTCTTGAATTGCTTGTAAAGTTGACCTTTTTGCGAGACGTCAAGACTTGTATGTTGCTCATTTTCTGAATTAATCAATTTGCTCTTTTACTTGTCCTTCAAAACTTGAGCAAGGTTGCAACTAGGCTGACCTTTTATGGACAAATAATACAAGTGTGACTCACAACTTATACAATTCCAACTAAGTTCGTAACAACACAATAGAGTTTTTCATCCACTTTTGGGAGCTTCTCAAGCCCTCCATATTCTCAGCCTCTAAGGAATTCCACAAGACTATTATCCTTCCGAACAGTTGGGGGGAAACTATTCTAGTTTTCATCCCCAAGAAGGAGGGTCCCCTTCGCATCAATGACTTCCACCCCATCGCCTTGTGTAATGTCATTTACAAACCCCTTTCTAAGGTTCTCGCTAATCACATCAAACCCCTTCTTGGTAGCCGCATCAACCAAGAACAGTTCACTTTTATCCAGAGAAGATGTATCCATGACAATATCACCATTGCCCAAGAGCTCACCCACTCGATGTACAATTCACACGACAAAAAACCCCTCATTATGATGAAGATAGACTTGCAAAAGGCCTTTGATTCCCTATCTTGGTCTCCTTTGGCAAGGACTGTTGGCATGATGAACTTCCCCCAAAGGCTAATTGATTGGGTCATGGCCTGTGTTACTTGCCCTAAATTCAAATGCAACATCAAGAACTTCAGCTCTAGATGGTTGAAAAGTCACCGAGGTTTTGGCAGGGAGATCCAATGTCCTCCTACATTTTTGTTATTGTCCAACAACTTCTCTCTTCCCTTTTGGACTTGAATGTAAATCAGAACAAAATCAAACCATTCCCTGTCAAAAACATTAAAATTTTGCATCTTGTCTTTGCAGATGATGTTCTTATCACCATTAGAGTAACCCCTAACTCATGCAAGCATCTCTCCAAGGTCTTCAGATTATACTCCAGTCTGACAGGGCTTAACATCAACAAAGGGAAATCTGCTGTTATTTTCCCCCAAGCACTGCCCTGCTGAAATCAAGCACAGGGTTTGCAGCACCCTAGAGTTCATGGAAGGAAGCTGGCCTATTCCTTACTTTGGTACTTTTCTAGCTCACAATCACCTCCCCACCAATATCCAAACACAAATTATAGACAAGTCCCTTAGCAAGATTAATGGGTGGCAGAAACACCTCCGGTCACAAGCTGGTAAAGTTATCCTGATAAATTCAGTCCTTAACTCCATTCCTCCCCATTCTATCGCGAGTTGCTAGACCACCAACAAATTTGCCAACAACATATCTAAGCACAGCAAATCTTTCTTCTCACACCTCCACCCATACAAAACTCCGGCTGCTTAGGTGGAATCATATCACTGCACCTAAAGACTCTAGAGGCTTAGGTGTAAGGGACATTAATATAGCTAGATATGCTGTTAATGCTAGGTGCATTCTCCTGAACCTGAATAGGTCCAACTCTCTCTGGGCTAGACTATTGAAGGGGGATTTAGGGGGGAAACGAGCTTCCCCAATCTGGAAAGGTACAACCTGTACCATCCATGATATTAAAGAGGGGCTCAGGATAATAGTTGGTTTGTGTTTAGCGATTAGACTTTGGAAGACCCTTGGATATCTTGTATTCCTTTAAGCAAAATGGCCAACCTTCATCAACTGTGACTATGCCAATGACTTGTACTGTGTTAATGACTTGATAATCCAAAGAAGATGGAATATGCAGATAACAAAATTTTTCATCCACATCTAGTTGGTAAGATATCAGGTATACACCTAACCTCCGAGTCCAATGATGATGACAGCTGGGTTTGGTGTCCTCACCCGCAAGGGTTAGCGACATTATAGAGCATCTAACAGTTCTTGAGGGATAAGCATCTTGACCATGGGAAGAATTGGTTTGGCTAGAAGGCTGTATAGGGGCTGAATGTTCTTCCTAGAATCAAAATCTTTTTGTAAAAACTCCTTTGGGGAAGACTGCCTACCTCTTTGTGGTTTTCAAACATGATTCGCTGCTATGTGGATCAATGTTGTGTCTATCATGGGAGGGTTGATTCTGCTGAACACATTTTTTCCACTTATCACTTTGCTAAATCCTATTTGGATCTCTTACAGTCAAAACTGGGTTTCAACTATTCTTTCATGCATGAATGGGCTAATGGGGACTGGCTAAGGGAAGGAGAACAAAGAGGAAGGCAGTTTTCAGTCAACACTACGTCTGTTATTGCTACCTTTCTTTGGTTCATTTGGAAGAACAGGAATGAAACCAAGTTCAGTAACCGTCATTCCCAGCCTCTTACCATCTGGTTTAAAGTTCACTCAACCCTCAAGTGCAATGATCATCAAAACCAAACCCAGGCCCCTGAGGACAACTCTTTTCTTCTCCCCTTAAGGAACAGAATCCAAGCACTCTCTCCCTTGCTGTTTTTTTGTGATGGCTCCTTCATTAACCCGAAGTCTAATGCAGGAACTGGTTTCTGTTTGTAGATCACAATGGGGTCAACATATATGAGGGAAGCAGCACACATCTAGCTTCTAGTTCTCTCCAAGCAGAACTATGGGCCATTTGGGACACATTAAACTCGGCTGCTCAGCCGAATTTTTCCAACTTCACTGTCAAATCTAACTCTTTAGAGGCTGTGTTGATATGTAATAGAGATAGGCCTATTCCTTGGCAGCTCCGTAATATCTGTTCTGATATCTTCAAATTAGCTGAGTCTGTCAATATTTTGTGGTTTGAGCATGTTAACAGGACAAACAACAGTACTGGTCATACCCTCGCTAATCAAGCAAGGTTTTTTTGTTCTCCTCCAGCATTGGAGGAGAATTTTGTATTTTTTTGGGGACTGATGCTGTCACAGGCTTTTAATTGAAGGTTGCTTTCTTTAAAAAGAAAAACAAACACACTAGGAAACAACTTCACTCCAAGATTCCATTTAATGTAATACAATGGCATCACTTTTTGAAGAACATAAACTGTAGAAGCAAAAAATTGTTCAAGATAAAATCAAACAATATGCATATTTTCACTTCTACAAAAAATTAAATCGAGAAAGGAATTCCTATATCCTGATATCTTAGACTTTAACAGAAAAAGACTGCAAACATGTCATAGATTATAATGAACATCCAGATGCCACATGACAAGAAACCCAGCTAAAATACAGGTTAAAAGCTCAGATGATTTTTATGGACATAGAGTAATTTCCTTTTCCAAAGAGATACCAAAGAAGTGACCAAGAAGCTGCCTCATCAAGCAAAACACGAGCCTTTTGCTGCATGATTCTGTCCTCTACCACCCGGTGCCTCCCAGTACTACCACACCTGCATTAACAGCAAATTGAGCGAAAAGTCACAAAGAACATCTATGCCTCGGAACTATGAGGAATTAATTTACCCAAAAAAAATCTGCTAACTCTTCTTAGGATGTACATTTACCAAAATGTTTCATAGAGTGAATTGAAATATCATATTAAAGAAAATTCTTATCAGTTCATCATTGATTTCATCACAACGAAGAATGATATTTTAATAGTTTTGACTATGCAACTTTCCAATTTATTCATTTCTTGATTTAAATATTTTCAAATTGATTAAATTCTGTCTACAAAAGAATTAAGCTTCAATAGAGTTAGAGACCCAAAGTACATTGAGGCGGCAGGGACCCGTCACCCTCAGTGCATGTCACAAAGCAACAAATGCATCTTACTAAAGGAAGCCAGACAATGAAACCACGAGTCGATATAATATAAAATGAATCTAAATTATATTGCATTTACTATACATCAATATCTAAATCATCAACGGAAATATTTTTCACAAATTAGCTTTAAAGTTAGTGTGATATTCTGCATAATGCAACAACCAAATATAGTGAGAAAGCAAAGAAACATAATAGTGAATAGAATAACAGTAATAGACTAATAATAATAAGGAAAAGAATGGTACATCAGAATATCATATATACCTCTATTACCCCACTTTTTCTCCTCTTTCTCATCTTCCCTCCCAACTCACTGTCAAATACTCAACGATTGCCCACCAATAATGTGTGAGAGGGGGTGCCAAGGGAAGAGGCACCAGTGGCAGGCCAATATCCAAAGGTAAAAGCCAACCAGACAGAAGTAGAAAGGGAAGAAAGAGGATAGAATAGAACACACAGGAAATATGGTAGATATCAAAAGTTTAAGTTGATCCAAACCAGTTAATGAATAAAATAATTGGTCTACAGCATAATGTCTACAAACTGGGTGGTACTCAACATCCCAATACCTAGTTGCAATGGTTTGCACCCGCCTGATATGCTAAGTGTATTGTGAAATAATTTCCATGCTTTCCATGTTTACCACATCAGCTTAGGTTCCACCCTATCATTCATAATACAACAGCACCGATCAAGTCTAGAGACATTTCACCAATTTCATGAGACTTTGAATATTAGCAATAAGCATAATACCACAGTTATCTTTGACAACGTTTCTGAACTAAATCCAAGATGGCCAACATCACTTTAGATACCAAATTTGCTGAAACCAATACTCCTCCAAGATATTGTATCCTGAACTGAAGTTATATCTATCACCAAAAACCAGAGTCGAATTTATTTTCCAAATTACATATGCTTATAGTATTTTCAAAGACAACCAGATTATTTATTTAAATTTCTAGAAAACGCAAAATATGTGCAATACTATATCGAGAATTACTCCTAGGAAATAAAGATCAAGGGGGATAGCACAAGCTGAATTAATCAAAGAAATCAAATTAATCAACACGTAACAAGGAATGTACTGAGACAATAAAAAGTCATAATGTCCCTACTGTTTGGTGTCAACTAATTGGATCTTTACCCACCACCAAACTCTACGTAGGGTAATATCACAAGATGAAGGAACAACAATCTTTAGATTTTTGAGATAAAATACAACCCACCATAGTGTTCATTAACACCCGGACTAACAAATATATAAAAGCAGAGTCTGATTTAGGTGCAAAACAGACCTGATTGACTCAGAGACACTCCGACATGCCTTCTCAAAACGCAAAATGAGATCAGCAAAGGGCATCAACCCTGTGATATGCACGACAATGTTAAAACATATATACACCAGTAGAGTCAGGTTTACTTGTAATAACAATCATCACAAAATTTGACTGTTCTGTGAAGAAAAAGAGATCCATTATAATCAGTAGCCACCAAAAGGAACTTAAAAATCTAAAAATGAGATGTGAACTAACAGGAAAACTTATCACCTTGTTTCCATGATGCAAGGAAACCTCCTCTTCTATCTACTCTATTTTTTTCTTCCCATTTTTTATCTTTTATTTTGTCTAATACAGCATATAACGAATGATACAATCCCAGACAAAGAAAATTATTCCAATTATTATCCTGATAGGCAAGGTCTTCCAAGTTTGCACCTAGACACCAAACCTTAACTAGCTAGCAGAGTAGCACCATGATCAGCATGAACCAGCACTACCAACATAATTCCTAAATTATGAAATTGCATTCTCTAAATACAAAACAAAAAAGCTACTTATTAGGAGATTGGTCCGAATTTTAAGTAAGTCAATTCAACACAATTGACAGGCTTGTCACTGTTACCAAACACCAACAACAGCCAGTATCAAATATACTCCATTGTATCATTGTATCAATAACTACATTGTTTCTATTCTTTAAATTAAAGAAATAGGACCTGATTTGATCTGCATTGAAAAATCTGAACATAGGATTGCCACCAACATGAGGGATAGACGATTCCCCATATCACCATACTAACCTTGAAGTGCAGAGTCTAGGAGAGAGGCAAATAATGTAAAAGTTGACTCTCCAGCTTCTAGTAATGCCTCATCTTCATGTTTGCCAATTTTTAGCGCATGGCTTACTCCTTGGCGCAATGAATCACCAAATTTCACTTCTGACACTGCATGACTATCAATTGATGCTCGTCTTTTCCATGAAGCATCAGTATCGAAATTGTCTACTTCCTGTTTGATCTCTTCAAGGAGAAGTGCGGTGTTAGGCCGTCGTTGAATATTGTTTCCTTCATATAACAATCTTGCCTCAGAAAACTTTGACACTGAATGTCCTACGAGTGGCGAAATATTTGAGGTCGATTGCCTTTTCCTGTACAAGATAAACATGTAGTCATGTTCTGGTTGTCATGCGAACTAGATAGCCTAATGTAAGTGAAACAATAAAATCATAAGATTATGCCATACTTAAACAACAAAAGTTGTACCCCATATCAATAAGTGGGATCCAGAAGTTCTAATTGTAAAAATCATAAAAACCACATCTGCTTGTTTAGCTCGATAACACTCAACACATATGTGTCTTTCTTTGTTACATACTGGCATCTAATTTTTGGCAGCACGATGCTCGAGTCACATGAAGATAGCAACGTTTCTGTTGCTCCTCATGCCGTACAAGCACTAAACAACCAGAAGATGTGTCGATGACATTACAAGTTTTATATTTTGTTAAGTGGCAAGAGTAATTTATTGTTCCAATTTATGAATTTCGTGTGAAACAAGGATATGGAACACTATCACTCTGATTTTTCATCAAATGCACATCTAATAACCCTTTTTGGCTAATGTCACAAACATAATAAAAAAACAAATGCAAAAGCATCTAGTGTCACCTTACATTCTAAACACTATGCAAACCTCTCCTTCACCGTATAATTTAAAGAAACCTCACGATGACAACAAACATCGAATGCTGGACCCGTAGCCAACCTCAAATCAATATCACCAAAGATCAGATACCAGAAGCAGGTCTCAAATTTTTCTGTTGCTCTCTTGCGATCACTGTCGCTAACACACGTCTCGACATATGAAGCCATGAGAACGGACATCGCGGATTAGTGTTGAGATCGCGCCAAAACATCACAATTTCAAGGTACTTCTTGATCGATGCGGAGTGTAATTTGTTCAAATAGGGAGAAGACGATGCCGAACCCTAGCGGGACCGTCAGGGAACGAGGAAAGCAAATGATAAGATATGTGTCAAAGAAAAGGTTGGGGTGTTCACCTGTAGCGACGATACTGCTCCCTGCTGCTGAGATCTTGGGGGTCGAAATTGCTCGGAGCATCTTCCATCTCCATTCCGAGGAACTTGCGCTTTAGACCCCGACGACTACAGACCACGAATCAGCGGTTTCGGTGGGGGAAGAGAAACCACGACGACAGAGCTCAACTCAAAAACCCTAATAAAGCCCTCCGGCGCCTCTGCAATAGCAAAGCGCCAAACGAGAGACTGAAACATACGTTAAGAGGGATCAATGCGTCCTCTATCGCCGAGCCGATTTGTACAAATACTTTTCGAACATTACACACACACACAAAAAAAAAAAAAAAATATATATATATATATATAACTTTAAGTTAATTTTAAGGGCGAATTCCAAAAAAAGTTTTTTTTCTTAGTTTTTCCTGAGAATTATCTCTCGTTTTCAAAATTCTCATCTCTTTTCTATCTAATATCTGAAATGCCTTTAATTTAACATTTAGTCATTTTTTTAATGTACTCATTAATTATAGTATTTTTATACTATGTTATGGTGTTTTTAATAATATCATAAAAATACCACAGTATAGTATAAAAATATTATGTTATGAATTTTTACATTGTGTTATAATATTTTTGGCAATGTCAAAAAAAATATTGGTTCAGAACGATCCATATAGCACTGTGCTTTTGGACAGTCGTAGTAACATAATGTTAAGAAAATACTATAACACAATATTTTTGTATAGTTTTACAATATTTTAATAATATTTTATTAGAAACATTATAATACCGTGTAAAAACAATATAATTAGACTGATTCAGTATAAAAA